AGAGAGAGAGAGAGAGAGAGAGAGAGAGAGAGAGAGAGAGGAAGAGAGAGATAGAGAGAGATAGATAGAGAGAGACATACAGAGAGAGAGAGAGAGAGAGGCGAGAGAGAGAGAGAGAGAGAGATAGGGAGAGCGAGTGAGAGAGCGAGAGCGAGAGCGAGAGCGAGAGCGAGAGCGAGAGCGAGAGAGAGAGAGAGAGAGAGAGAGATACAGAGACAATCTCAGATCCAACAATTTCGAGACCATCGGCTGTTGCGTGAGCGGCGGGAGGAGGCGAAGGCGTCAGCTGCAGCAGCGAACCGCGCCCTTGCAGGCGCGACGTCGATGTCCGAGCATGCGCGGCAGCAGGGCCTGACACAATCAGGCGTGATTATGAGGTGGGACAGGAACAGGTTGCGCATGAGGTGGTGGAGGTTCGGCGGAGGGCGGCGCGGTGGAAAGTCATGCACTTACAGAGGTACAACGAACGACGGAAAACACATAATCAAGCACTTGTGGTCGGATAGTTGCGCAAACATCAGGAGCGTCAGATCCGCCGCGACAATGATCCGCGTTGCCAGGGTACCACGTGCACGGTCATTGAGTTGCTGGGTTTCAACGAGCAGGGCATGGAAGAGGAAGTGGAGGCGTCAGCAGGCCCGCATATAGATTGGGGAGGTATGGGTATCACATCGCCTTCAAGTGAGCAAAAGCCCATGCTGGAGGAGAAGGCGTTGAAATCTGGAGATGGTCGAGGTCCTGAGTTGAAGGGCTGCACAGTTGAAAGTACTGCTGCACCAGTGCCGCCGCCAACGCCAGAAGCACCAGGATCTCCGAGTGCACGGGCGCCGTCCATCCGATGATAGAGAAGAGGGCCAGCCAGAGTGATCGCGTGTACAAGGTGCGCTTGGAATTTGCGCTTGCAGTGCACGAGGGGGAGAAGAGCGAATTGCGGGGGCTCTTCAGACAGCGCGAGGTAGAGGTACAGGGTCACATCTATTGAGAAGGCAGAAGTGCCGCAGCCGGATTGGACGTGCTTGGGTTGCGGAGCTCATCAATCGGCGGAACATTCGTGCTGCGTGCCATGTGGCGCTGGGCGCATTATGGCGTCCGATGGTGCTGGCGTGGGGGACGGGGTGGTTGAGGTCGAGGACCCCCCGCCTGGAGATCAGGCAGGCGCGTCTGCGTCGAGGGGAGGTGCTGGCCTGAGCGAGAGGACCAATGAATGTTCAGTCAGTGCTTGCAACAGGATGATGTTGGTAAGATGGCGGCCCGAGTTGGCGCAGGCATTTCATGGGCACGTTCGGGTTGCGGGCATCTTGGCGAGACGGAGGACCATGCTTGCTCCAGATTTGGCGCGCCAAGATGCGACAGGCATGTGGTCGAATTCCGGAGAGCTCGAGATGAGTTCAGCGAGCTGGCGTGGCAAGAGGCCTTGGCTGAGCTCGACCTTCCGAGTTTGGGCGGCGATCTTGGCGGGGCGCCCCCTGGCGTTCTTGATAGGCAACTCAGCGCAGAATCAAGAGGCGTGGATTGTTTCGCTCTAGGACAGCAGTCCATCTGGAAGCAAATCACTAAGGCTAGAGACGCGTGGGGTCATGCGCAAACGCCAGCTTTGGGGGGTGAGTCTGTAGACAATGACCATCGAGGTGCTCGCTACAAGCAAGATGGGGTTCCCATTGATTATTCAAAGATGGGATGGGATAAGTTCGCGGTGGTGCCTCTCATTCATGTAGGCCCAGGGGGGGTGGGAGATTCCGGGGGCGCAGGCGCGCGTTGGGCGCGGCGGCGAGACGGGCGCGCCCGACGTGCAGTCAGGCAGGAGGTGCATCTGAAGTCCTTCCCCGAAGTTGCTCGCTGGTGCTTCGTCGCGAAGTCGGAGGGGTGCTTCCGGGCACGCCTTGCCGACGGCCGCGGGGGCTCGGGCTTCCCTTCGCGGGGGGGGGGGGGCCGGCGGCCTGCCGTCCTTGCGTGCAGAGAGGGGTTCAGGCTGCGCGGCGGCCAGCCGTGAGTTTCCATTTCCGACGTTGCCAAGGGTTGTTGTTTTCGCTCAGCCGTCAGCATTGGAAGAGCGCCATGGTGATCCCCGCCTCTCGGCGGCTATGGTCGAGGCGCGCAGGGCAGCGAACTTGGGGGCAAGGGCTGGGCCTGAGGTCGCGCGGTCAAGGCGGGGCAGAATACATGGTAGCGCACTAGCCGACGAGGTGCCCATAATCGGCTTCGCGCGCCCCTAGCAAATCGTTCGAGGGGGCCCTGGGGGGCCGGGCATCTCCGCGCCGTGCCGCTGGACCTGGGCGATGCTGATCTTTGCTTCTCCACGGGTGCCTGGTCGTAGGTATCTTGATGGGTCATTCGTGGGCGATTTGCTCTTCGTGGAAGCTGTGGAGCAGCGCGGGGGTGTCATGGTGGCTGCCGGCCGGATGGTTGACGCCATCTGTGCAGCTATGACTCCCCGTGGCGTCCACGTGAGCAACAGACGCTAAAAAGGCGCGCGTTCTGCTATGTCGATCATTAGGTTTATTACCTTCGCGGCGAAAGTGGACCAGGCGCCCGAACTGGCGTTGAAGACGGGTCGCTGGGGGGGTGGAGGCGCGTGGCGCGAAGGGCGACGCGTGCCATTGGGTTCCCGTAGGCCAGGGATGTCACGGCGGAATCGAGTTTGCGGGAGCAGTGATGAAGGATCAACTATCGTTCGATCCGATTCGCAGGATGTGCCATGCGATCCCATGCGCTTCTAGTATCACCAGGACTACCGTATCTGACACAGTGTCCAACGTGCACCTCCTAGACTTCCACCGAGGCATGCGGCTGTTGGGCGGAGGGCCAGATAAGACAGCTCGGGGCGGATCGGGCCAGGGTTACAGGAGTTTGCGACAACGGCGGCATCGCGTGCATGCAGTTGGTTATTGCTACGGCGAGGAAGCGTTGGGCGGCGCCTGCTTTCCTTTGCTCATTGTTCGCTCAAGCTCCGACGGCGCTTTAGTTCTCGGTCGACATGGCTGCAGGCTTGAAGGGGTCATGGGCTACCCTCGTCCGCGAGGGCCGGGGGTGGCTTGGGAAATGCGACCCGCTGTCCCAGTCGCCGGTTTTGAGAGGTGTCTTGGAGCCGATTCGGGACCAGCCTGGGTCGTTCACGCGGTTCCTGCCGGAGGAACGATTGATCGATGCAGGCGCGCAGCCTTGATCCGACACCTTGAAAGAGACGCGAATGCGAGCGCGGCCCTATCTGCGGAGATGCAATGTGCGCGTTGCGAATGTGGTCAGCGAGCTACTTCAACCGCCTCTTGGAGAACGCGCCTTCTGATGTCCGGCGTTCTGCAGGATGGGGTTCTCGTCGTTGTTGCGCGCGCAGGTCTACTGGCAGATTTCACCGCGCCAGGAATCTCCTTCGCATAGGCAGCGCGCGCGTGCGTTCGCTGGCGGAATGGCCATCGCTAGTGACGCAAGAGGAAGCGAACGTAGTACATGATGTGGACCTTGTTCGAGAACGCGAAAGTACTGGGCGCCGACATGGCCGCGCGAGGGTCGCCGCGCATGTTCTCGCCGAAGGGGAAGGGTTCAGCATGCGCACTCATAGGCCGATCAATCCGCCCGAGTTCATGGTAGAGATGCGCCTCCCTGGTTCGCCATTGAGGTGATTGGTATTTTTGTGCTCGGGCGGCGTACTTTCAGTTATGCATGTCGGTGTTGGTGAACGCTGCCGCGGTGACGTTGGTGGACTGATTGGTGCGGTTGTAAATCGGGCTTGCGCTTCGCGCTGCCATCTTACGTCATTCTCCCCTCGAGAAGTTGACAATCTACCAGAAAGGATGAGCCATGGAGCGGCGAGGGCAGGGTAGATTGAGGCGCCCAGGCAGCATTCGGGGTTTTCCACGGACAGTGGGCAAAACGGTGCAACGCACAGTCGCAACACATGAGAACTCTCGATCACGTGGAGAAAGAAACGCGACATTCGAGAAAATCGATGTGATGTTCATGTGTCCACGGTTACTCTTGAGCGCCTGCTTGACAGGGGTCCTGGCTGCAGCGACGGCGGCATGGGGCCTATTGTCTCTTGCTTTTCGAGGATGGCGTGATGCCGTGGATTAGTTGTTGGGGGCGGGCTTCTCGAGGCAATCTGTTGTTGGCTATGCATTGTGAGCCCCGTGGGCGCCATGATGATGAGCCAAACCGACATGGGTTGCATCGATTGTTGCGACGTCCAGCGCAGCTCAAGCCAGCGCCGACCAGGATGGCCGCCAGCCTGTTGACGCGCATCCACTCAGTTGCAGCAGCAGCAGGGCGTTTCTGCTGATCTGTATTATTCCTCGTGTGGTTGGTCGGGTTCGCTCAAGTCTCTAATCGTGTTGCATTTCGTTTTCCGTCCTTCCATCCCACCAACCATCGTTTACCTGGCGAAGGCCTTTGCTCGCGCGGAGCAGGCATCGTATATTTGAGCCCCCCACCACGGTGGCGGAAGTGGCAGGGGTGAAAAAATCAATCGCCACCCGTGGAAGGGGGGGATGGGGGGGGGAAGGGGGCAAGCCTAATCGACAATGAGGCCTGGGCTTGCATCCTCGCTCTTGTTGTGCTGGTGGTGGCTGGTGGCTGAGGGTGGGCTCCGTCCACTGCCCCATCTTGCGCGCGGAGCTGGCACCCTCAGTCACCTGCTGTTGCGCTCCCCCCTCTCTTTAAAAGAGAGAGGGGAAAAAAGAGACCGAAAAGAGAGTCTCTTTTCGGTCTGGTCGCCAACGCCATATTACGCGTGGTCCTTCTTGCTTCTCCCCTGCTCCCATGCGCTGCCGTGGCCCGGGCGTGGATCGGTTGCATGGGGGGCGGTGCGTGGCGCACGGGCATGGGCGGTGGCCATGGCCCGCCTTTGGCCTGCCCTTCCCAACCCGCATTCGGCCCCCACTTTCCTCATCGCCATCCTGGCGTTCTCGACCTCGGCTTATGTTTTTGTTTTGTTCCCCTCTCTCTCTCACAATCTCTCTCTCTCTCGCCCTCATGGATTGTTGTTTCCCCCCTCTCTCCCGGATTCTCTCTCTCTCTCTCTCTCTCTCTCTCTCTCCGTGCCGCACTGTTACTTGCAGGAGGTGCGAGGGGTGGTGGTGCCACTCGACGTTCTGAGCCTGAACCTGCCCTTTTTCGCGTAGGCTTCACTCTGGTGTCCCCATTCGTCCCACGTAGGCATTTCCCCTGGTGCTCGACGCGATGTCCTCCCGGGGGCTCTCGACCCTGTTGGCGCGGCCTGTCGGTGCCGCGCCCGTTGGCCGCTTTCGCCTGGGTCGTTCGATATTTTCGGGGGTGGACAGAACCCCCAACAGTGACACGTCGATCAGTGAATTGTCCGTTTTCGGTTCTCGAGATGGCGCCGCGGCCGTTATTTTCCAGGCTTGCGCCCGCCAGGTTTGGGCCTGAGGTCGTTTTCACTAAACCACGTTTTACTAAAGGGGGGTCTGTCCATCCCCGATATTTGTTGCCTCAGAGGAGGCAACTTGACTTGTCTGGCGGCCGCGCGCGGCAGCCATCCCGACGCCGCAGGCAGAGCGCCTCCCACGGTTCGGCGAAGAGAGAACAATGGGAGGAGGAGGAGGAGGAGGAGGAGGAGGAGGAGGGGGGAATGGGGAGGGGAGATGTCCCTGGACGCAGTTCATCCGACGTATACTTTTGTGTCTGCGGTGGCACAAGGCTCCCGAACCTGCCGCAATTTTCTTGCCCGCCATTGTCAAGATCACCGCCAACTGACGATGTCTCCTCACGCCCCTCCACTCTGGGGGCTCTCGCCCAACCTCTCACTCCCTGCTGGCTGCCCACTTATATCATGCTTCGCCTAGTTTCCCCATCCATCCAACACCTTCACCACCCTTGCGGGGCAGGATGGGCAGGTGATCGAGAGAGGGTGTGGGGGATGACAAAGGGACCATGCCGTCGACCGACCTGGCAAGGGCCAGGGCGGCCGCAGCGCACTGCCGCCGCCTCCGAGCCACTCTCCGACCCCACCGTCGCACGCTCAACCCACACTTGGCGCGTCAGATCCTGTGCACCTGCCCTCTCAACACTCGTTGCCCCGTGCACTGAGATTTTGGCGACAGCCGTCCACTACAACGGCCGCGCAGTTGTGATATTCGGTCGGGGGCGGTACGGGTGGGGGCGGGGCGGAAACCGAACGTGCGCTGCTGGCCGTTATGGCTAGGGCCAGGGTTGCCGCAGTCCGTGACATGCCCCCGTATAGCCACACTCCCGATGGCCAGCATTCTCTCACCCTGCCGCGTCTTGCCCCGTACCTCAGCTACCCGGTTCAGTCGCCGCAGTCCCCCTTTCCCGCTGCCTGCCAACCGCTTCTGACCTCGCCAGATCTGCCTTGCGTTCAGTGCCCCACGTCTGTGCAGCACTCTGTGCAACGATTGTCAAGGGGTGGATCTGGGGGGTGGGTAGGAAGGATCAACCACCGCCGGTTGCCATGGCGTTGGGCACGGCAGCCGCCGACATTCAGCCGCGTCCCAACCAGCGCACTTTCCACCCACTCAGTTGTGGCCCATAACTCCTTCTTTTCATCCTGCTAGCTGTTCTCACGTGCTTCCAACCCACCCTACTAGAGCAGCGCCTCACCGCAGAACCAACATGGTGGGTGGGGGGGGTCATCGAGGGGTGGGAGGAAAACGCAACCTGTCGCCACCGCCGCAGGATGGCGCAAACCTCTCCGCGCCTGGGGAACCTGACCTGGCCGCCACTCCCTCCCTGGGAACTCTCTGTCAGCCTTGGCGGGTGGGGGTCCCCTTGATTGGTTTGGCGGCCAGGGCCGGGGGGGTTCCGAACGGCAGAGGGGGAGGCCTTTGCGCCATCCAACTTGGCGAGTGTGGCCACTATCCGCACTCGAAACGCCCCACGCCGCACCGCCCCAGCTACCGTCGCCGCTCCACAGTGCACTGTCGCAGCTCACTTCCCCAATCCGCAGTTCAGGGCTATTAAGCTTTGCCTCCGCTCCCTCCTTCTCTACCCCCCGTGGGTGCAGGGGGACTTAGCTACCCCTCCCTCGGGGGGCCTTCCAGTCGCGGGGAGGCCACGTTCGACGAACTTTCTGGCCATCGCTGAACTCCCAGTTCCTGAGTGGAGGAGGAGGAGGAGGAGGAGGAGGAGGAGGGGATCATCTGGCACGGCCGCCGCGGGTGACCAGCGACCGCGAGCCCGCTCATGTCGGACGCGGCCGTGCTCGTGAGGACCTCGGGCGGCGGGCCCGCCTCCGCCGGCTGTGCCCCGGGCCGCTCGGCCCGCCCGCCTCCTGCCTCCGCCGCTCGGGAGCCTCGAGGCCTCGGTCGCCAGCGCGCGCCCCGTCGGCGCTCAGCTCCTCCTCCTCCTCCTCCTCCTCCTCCTCCTCCTCCTCCTCCCCCTCCTCCTCCCCCTCCTCCCCCTCCTCCCCCTCCTCCTCCTCCTCCCCTCCTCCTCCTCCTCTTCTCCTCCTCCTCCTGCAGCGGTGCACCAGCTACTTCGTGGGCCACGGGGCCCGCGGGTTCGCTCAGCCAGCCGCTGCCGCGGGAGCCGCCACCGCGCCAGGAGACGATCGAGGGCGGAGCAGCGATCGACCCAGACGTCCGACGCACTGGAACATGCAAGACGGGGGTCTTCGCCTTTTTCGGCCTCTGGGAGCTTTCGCCGGGTCCCGGGAGCCGTCAAAGACCGACCGAGGATGAGAGGCCGGTCCCAGGGAATGGGTGGAGACTTCTGGGGCCCCGCAGTGAAGAATCAAGACAGCGGATCTGTGGCTCCACGCGTCCCTGGGAGAGAATCGCCGAAGGAGAAGAAGCAGCATGAGCATAAACTTTCGGCGCTGCGCGAAGATCTCTTGGATCGGCCCCAGGACCCCCTGGGCGGTGCCTCCGGCGCCGCCCCTGGCGCGCTCCGCGCGCTTGGGATGGTGGTCCAGCGCCGGTCCAAGAAGTCTGCGCGGAACCCGAAACTTCATGTTTACGCCGCTCCGTGCTCCTCCAACTCCATTTGTCACCACCCACCAAACCACCCCAACCCATCCCGAAGGCTCAGATTTGCCCTCGATTTCTAGTGGGGGGGGGGCGGGAAACATCGAAAAAACACATGTGGAACCCTTACCCCCCCCCCAACCCGAAATTCGGGTCTTCGGGTTGGGTTGGGGTGGTCTGGTAGGTACTCCATCTGCGGAGGCTCTCTGGTAATTCGCGGGGGGCCCGCCGCTCGGCCCTGGGGCCATCCGAAGACTGCCCATGGCGAGGGACCGGTTCCCATGGGTGGGGTGGTCGAGAGGTCCAGCCTCCCCGTGTTGGGAGGAAGCGTCATCGGAGGTCCGGGTATCCATTCCCGACCTCCCCGTTCTCCTCCTGATCCTCATCTGCCTCCGTCTCCCTGTCGCCGCACTACCCTGGCAGTGGTGTGGCAGGTCTTCTCCTCATTCCCGCAAGATGAGCCTGACACGTTATCCTCCTTCGGGTACGCTTCTTCTCCTCCTCCTCCTGCTTCTCCCCCTACTCCTGCCTTTCACTACGTCAGCCCAACTTAAGGATCACGCCTCTAGCGTTCCCGAGCGATTGTGGCACAGACAAAAATCCGAATCGGGCCACTGGTACCTGGCGGGCGCCGCAGAAACAGCTGTAAAGATAGAAAGGCGGCAGAGAGTAGAAAGGCGCCCGTCAGGCACAGGAAGCATAATATACCTTAGCAAGTCACCGATAAGCAAGCCACAACAAAAACAAGTCACATAATCGCATCCTGAGGTACATACTGCCTCTGACATGAGAAAGTATAAGGATGCAATTCTCGGGCTGCAGCCTTGAAAAGTCAGGAAGTGTGCTGCTTATGCTAGCAGTCCAAGGAACTGAAGGTGACCGAATAGGTCGGTGCTGCAGCGCCTGAAGTGTTTTGGTATCCCACCTCTACTCAAGTACTACCACCACCCAACGTGTATATTCAGACTTGCTGCAAAAGGTAGCAAGTGACAGGTGCCTGCGTAGCAAGTGTGCAATTCTTGGGCTAGTACCCTTGAAGTCAAAAAGTGTGTTACTTGTGCAGGAGCAGTCAGAGAAACCGAAGGTGACCGAAGCTGGTCGGTGCTGCAGCGCCCGATGAATCACAATCTGCTTCCTCCACATGCATACTAAGTAATACCACCACCACCAGTATTTACTTACGCTTGCTGCCGAGGGAAGCAAGTGAGCAGGTGTCTGCCTAATATGTGTGCACTTTTTGGGCTGCTACCCTTAAAGAACAAACGAGTGCTGCTTGTGCAGGAGCAGTCGAAGAAACTTGGGTGACCGAAACTGGTCGGAGCTGCAGCGCTTGGCGTCAGAGTGTTAGGGTGGCCTGTCTGGCTGGCCTGTCAGAGGCTAAAGCGTGCGAGTGCTAGTTTACTGATACCATGCCGTCTTTACTATGCTGCGCAGAAGGATCTGGCAACAAACGTGGTAATACGAAATGTAGCAGTTCTTGGGTTGCTGCCCAGTTTGTTTTGGTTTACCCCCAATCACCTTGGTCCCTGGGCCATCTTGCTTTTCGTATGTTCTTCTTGGGTTTAGCACGATACCTGTATATCCACTTGTGTTGTGAGGCTGGCCTAGAGGCTGGCCTGTACGCTGGTTCCAGCGGAATAAATAGTATGAGTACAACTTGTAGCTGAGACAGTGCTTAGGCGCGAAGCGGCCTCCTCCTCCTCCTACACCTCCTCACACAACCCATGCCCCTCCGGTTGGTGGCAAGAAGAAACGACCTCCCATGCACGCACTGTGAGATGACGGCGCCGATGGACTAGGGCTGACCCGTGGCCTCCGGCCACGTCCATCGCACAGTCGGCTGCTCGACGGACCTCTGGCAGACACGCGGCGTACACGCTGCCACATATCGTTGCGGCTCGTGACCTGCGTCCTCCTCCCCTCATATAATCCCCTCTACTCCATCCTCCGCACCAACCTCTCTACGCCACAGACACAAGCTGGTGGCAGAAAGAAGCGGCCTCCCATACAAGAATCACTGAGGGATGCCGGGTCCATGATTTGCAACGCTGGCCACGTGCCTCAAGGGCCCACCGCCGTGGCCAGGAATTTGGAAGCGGAGCGGCCGTAGAGCGGGTCATTTTTCAACTGTGCCTCCGCCTCCCACCTAATCCCCTCCACCTCCACCTCCTCCCCACGAATGGTGGCAAGATGAAACGGCCTCCCATCCGCACTGAGAGATGACAGCACCGATAGACTAGGGCTGACCCGTGGCCTCCGGCCACGTCCAGCGCACAGGCGGTTGCTCGACGGACGTCCTGCAGACACGCGGCCACATATCGCTGCAACTCGTGACCTGCGGACTCTCCTCCGCAGAGACGGCCTCCCATACAAGAATCATTGAGATATGCCGACTCAGTGATCTGCAGCGCTGGCCACGTGCTGCTCCTCCTCCTCCTCCTCCTCCTCCTCCGTAGCAATTTTGGCTCAAGGCCAAGATGGTGTCCATTCCACTGCCTAGGCTCCCACCAGGCTTTCGTTTCTCGACGCTGCCACAATCGGGGGCTAGCAGCGGCCCACGCCTTTCCCTGCCTCTCGTTGTGGCCTTGCAGGGGGCCCTCCATATCTTCCATATCGCGCCGACACGCTCTGGTTTCGCGCACCAGGTGGCGGCACGCCCGAGGTCCACGCCTTGGCCAGCTCGTCCGACGAGGACCGTAGCACCAGCCGCAGTCAGCAACGTCGCCGTCGCGGTGGTGCCGAACGTCGCCGTGCAGCTGCTGCCGCCGACACGCTCACCCTCATGGCTTCTTCGGGCGCAGCACGACAGCGTGCTGCGCGACCTGGCCGCTCCTCTGCCCGCCCAGTATCATCGGGTCCACCTGCACATGTAGCCGACCCTCTTTAGCAAGCTGATCCCTGGCACCGACAGAAGCAACAGCAACATGGCGGAGATCAACGATACTCGCAGGACCTGGCGCGCGACCTGGAGCCTGTTCCCCACCTTCGCATCGCAAGCAGACCAGCCAGGAGAAGACCAACGGACACCGCAAGCTCCTGCCAATGCAGTTGCTGATGGCGCTCCCGTTCTCCCGTTCGACTTCCTAGACTTTCCGGCGACATGGACAGCGCTCTTCAGGATCTCATGCAGCAGCAGATCTCCCACGCTGCCGCCACTTTCAAGCAGCAGGCCGACGTTCTATTGGAGCTGTCGCGCGACGGCTTCCGCCAGCTTCTCAAACAACAAGTTCTCCAAACGGAACGACGTGTGGACAGCCTCCAGGACGAGCTGGCCCGCGCCAAGCGCGAGCAGGACAAGCAAGCCGAGGAGCAACGCAGGATGTGGGCCCTTATCGACAAGTTGCGTGACACGATCGCCCTCGCCGAGGGCCAGGTTCCCATTGCCGACCTCTCCAAGCTTGCCGAGTGGGACCGCTCGCCCGACGCCACCCTATTCTCCATTGGCTCCCAGCGGCTCGTTGCCCCCAACGCCGTCTTCAATGACTTGCAGGAGTGGATCGGCGTTGATGGCGACGAGCCCGCGCGACGTTTCATCCTCCAGGTCAAGGGCAACAGAGAGGTGGCCATCCCCCGCGCTCTCGCTCTTCAACGTGCTCTTCGGGACGCCGCGGGCCGATGGCGTCGCTCCCATACCGTCGGCACCAACGACATCCACGCCGACACCTACGTCACCCCCGACAAGTCGCCGCAACAGATCCGCGCGGAGATCCAGCACAAGAAGCTGCATTCGCTCTTGTCGCAGAAGCACCCGCAGCTGCGCTGGCGCGCCATCCGCTCCAAGGGCGAGATCCACTGCGACGCGATCCCGCTGGCGCGCCTCGACACCAAAGGCCAAGCCGATCCCGCCATCCTCGAGTGGAACGAGCGGGCGCTGGATAACCCCGCCTTCAACTGCCTCGGCCGCGGTGCCATCCTCACGGACTTCCAGGCCCTCTTCGCTGACACCGAGTCCGCCACGTGGCGTTCCTAGCCACCTGTGGGCCCCATGGCGTGGCACAGACACGTCGTTACCCTCCACTTTCGTCAGCTGGAACGCCCGCGCCTTCATGCGCTCGCGCCACCGACGGCGCCGCCGCAAGCAGGCCACCCGTGTCAAGTTCATGCGTGCCCAGCAGGTGGTCCTCCTGCACGAGGTCCACGGCTCGTAGGCGCTCTTCCGCACTTGGCTGGACGCGCAGCCGTGCCCGTACAAGCTCTTCTTCTCCGAGTTCCGCGCTGGCCCCTCCACGCAGCAGCACGCCGCG